GTTTTTAAAGTCAATTAAGTATCCTGATGGTTATGCAGCAAACATCTCAAGGTGTGTGAACACAAAAGGTGATAAGTTAACAGGCCTAAAAAGTCATGATTGTCATGTCCTCATACAGCGACTTCTTCCCATTGGAATGCGTGGATATCTTCACAATGATATTTGTGTTGCATTATTTGAGTTGGGAAATTTCTTCCAAGAGCTTTGCTCGAAGACATTGAAGATGAAGAATTTGGAAATATTAGAAGATCGCATAATATTCATACTATGCAAGTTAGAAAAAATTTTCCCACCAGCGTTTTTTGATGTGATGGTCCATTTGGCGATTCATTTGCCGCGTGAAGCCATTCTTGGTGGGCCTGTGCAATATCGGTGGATGTACCCCATTGAAAGGTACTTACTAACTTATTAAAACACTAGAATACTTAAATTGTAGCACAACCTGCATATGTATTTATAAAAATGTGAGTGTGTGTGTAATAAGATTATTCTATTGTTTGTTTCATAGGCTGCTTGGAACTTTAAAAGGATATGTTGCAAATCGAGCTCGTCCAGAAGGTTCGATCACAGAAGCTTATGTTGTCAAGGAGTGTCTCACATTTTGCTCAATGTATTTGGGTGGGATTGAAACTGTATTTAATCGAGAGGAACGGAATGTTGATGTTAGTGTGCATGAGTCGGGGTTAGAGGTCTTCGCGCAAAATGTTCGTCCTTTTGGGCTAATTACAAGGGTTTCTAACGTGTCTCAAAAAGAACGTGAAATGGCTCATTGGTTTGTCTTGAATAATAGCCTCGAGCTTGACCATTATCTAGAGTACGTTCTTAATCTTGTTTTTTTTTTTGTAGAATTATGTTTTCAATATAATATGTTACTTATGAATCATATGTTTGTAAGTAGGCAACACAAGAATCTTTTAGAAAATGAAGGTGTACGTGACATCACAAATAGACAGAAAAAGGAATTCCCCAAGTGGTTCAAAGAACATGTAAGATATAATCCCAAACTTTATTCAGCTACACTTATATGAATACTAACATAATGATTGAAATTGATGTCGTTATGTAGATGAACCAATTACGAGCTCAAGGATTACCAGAAGCAACTGATGATTTGTGGTCATTAGCAAATGGTCCTAGTATGAATGTTAACTTGTATTTAGCTTGCATTTCCAATGGTGTTCGATTTCATAGTAAGGATCGTGATAGTAGTCATAAATGCCAAAATAGTGGGTTAGTTGTGGAAGGGGAGCATGAGAGACAAACAATTAACTTTTATGGGTACTTGAATAGAGTGTGGGAGATGCATTACATACTTGGACATCGAGTTGTTTTATTCCAATGCGAATGGTTCAATACCGGTAGCAATAGAACATTACATACCGATACACATTGCACAAGTATTGATGTTAGAAGTCGATGGTATAAAGATGATCCATTTGTCTTACCAAGTCATGTGAAACAAGTTTTTTACGTTGATGATACAAAGTTAGGCGGACATTGGAAAGTCGTAGAAAGACTACAACATCGAGGAATATGGGATGTACCAGAACAAGATGGCTTTGAACCTGAAAATGTATTGCAACAAAATGAAACAACTGATGCTGTCCCAGTGAGCGTTGAAGACCCCGTGACAATCTCACTTCATAGGAATGACATTGATCCTCAAATTATCCCAAGTGAGGTGGTTTTACAATCATTTAATCGAGCACACAACGATGGTGTTGATGAGGAAGAGGGGTGCGATAATGAAGATGATTACTACGAGCATTAACTATCCGAGAAGATGAGCTACATAATCATTTTGATTGTAATATAGATTTTGATATAGAACTTTAATTGTTGTGTGATTGTAATATGTTTTGATGACACTGTTGTTTAAGTGCCTTTGAGTTTGAGTACAATGACAATTCTGCATGAATTTTTTATTTATTTATTTATTTTTTATTTTTTATTTTTTTTTTGTATATATGTGTTTGTGTGTGTCCCTATGTCTCTCTCTTTGTCTATTTTATTTTTTTTGTTTCTTATGTTATGTTATTGTTTAGTTATCACTTATATTTTGACATTGATTCTATTATATAGCCATTGATATTAATGTAATTGCTTATTTTACATATGCTTCACACATGTAATTGTTGAGTTGTTGTGCTAGGTGGCAGGCCCTGGTAAAGTTCGACATACAGCATCATCCAAAGTTCCTCTACCTTCCCAACAAGCTGCAGCTAGAATTGCTACCCCTACTCAGCATGCACCACCTATTTTAACCCCATCTATTAAGAGTGTACCATCTACAAATGCTCTAAGTATCCATCCTACATCACCGACAAATGCAACTACTACCCAGGTTGCACCATCTACAAATGCAACTATAACCCAGGCTGCACCATCTACAAACGTAGCTACTACTCAGGCTGCACCATCTACAAATGCAACTACTACCCATGATGTGCCATCTACCACTAGTTTGCGTACTCGTTCTAGACAAGTCAGGGGTCAGACTCGAGGGAAGAGCATAGCACGTCTCATAGCTAACAATGGTGGTAAAAAACTTCTTGTTTGGATCCTTGCAGATGCGAAGGTGCTAGTAGGACCTTATGCCACTCCATTTGCAAATGAACTTGGCTTACAGATAAGGATGGCTGCACCAATCATTGGTATAAAAAAGTGGGACAAGATTGATGAGATTCATAAAGCCCCAATCATTCAAGCAGTTCGGGTACATGTATTTGCTACTTTTCAGATAATTAGATTATCACCATTACTTGCATTTTGATATTAATAAAAGCATTCATTATATTTGTAGGATAAATTTGAGATTGTTGATTATGATGAGGATGAAGAGGTTCGGAAAGGAGTCAATAAAAAGTGTAAAACTCTTTACAGAAGTTGGCGTAACAAGATGAAGACTCATTACTCGAAGTTGGTAGACGCTGGTGTTGACCCTTATAGTAAACCATACAAAGGGGTCGATTCTGAGGCTTGGGTATACATGATCGATCATGTATGGCTTGATGACGATTATCAGGTAAAATTTCCTAATTTGAAGAATCATGTTGTAATTTCAATTTTATTTTACTAATCAATTAATTTTACAGAACTTGGCTAAAAAAGCAAGGGATAGTCGAGCGAGGCTACCATATAATCATACAATGGGCTCCAAGTCATTTCAAGCTGCAATGTATAAATAGGTGATGCATTTATTATATCTAACATAATGATTGAAATTAATTATGTATGCTTACTTTTAAATGGAATTAGGGTACCGAGAAGACTGACTTTGTAGACTTCTACAAAGATTCCCATTGGAGCAAGAGAAAGTCGGATTGGGTAGCCCCGATATGTGGTCAATTACATGTAAGTATGCCAATTAATAGATTTACATATTTATGTAAATGATGGTATTTGTTGAAGTTGTTTACAAATTGATAGAAAGCTTTGAAAAAGCGACATGAAGAGTCTTTAGAGCCTGGGGCAATACCTTTAACTCAGGAGCAGCTGTCAATTGAGATTCTTGGAAAGAAATTGGGATACTTAAAAGGCTTTGGAGTTGGTCCAAAACCATCATCATCCAGATCTTCTGTTACTGCACAAGCACATACTGAGGTGGTTTCGAGCCTACAAAAAGAACTAGAGTCATTGAAGAATTTGTCCGAGATCCAGCAAGAACAAATTGCAGCCCAAAACCTGGTAGCACAAGAGCAAGCTAAAATGATTGAAATGCAAAACAAAAGATTTGAAGAGATTGAGAAGTTTATGAGGATGACCAAGGATCAGGCAGGCATGCAGGTTGATGAAAATAATTATTCATCAGAGGAATCTTATTGACAAACACTTTTGTAAGTATATTTTTCAGAATTTACTTTTCAAATTAGCACAAGCATTTCATTTAATATGTCTGGCTGTGTTGAACAAACAAGACCTCGATTGGATCTCCGGTTAGAAAATTAGAAGAAAAATTGTAAAATACAAGACTTAAAAGGCCCGTTCGGGGGCCGAAATTGCGAAATGACCACCGGAACCACCAAAACTTAGGCATGCATGGATTGTTCAAGCCTAAATAGACTTGATGGAACAAACGGGACCTCAATTGGATCTTCGGTTAGAAAATTAGAAGGAAAATTGTAAAATACAAGACTTAAAAGGCCCGTTCGGGGGCCGAAATTGCAAAATGACCACCGAAACTTGGCACGGACAGTTGGTTAATGCCTAAATAGACTAGTAGGAACAAACGAGACCTCAATTGGATCTTCGGTTAGAAAATTAGAAGGAAAATTGTAAAATACAAGACTTAAAAGGCCCGTTCGGGGGCCGAAATTGCAAAATGACCACCGAAACTACCGAAACTTGGCACAGACAGCTGGTTAAGGCCTAAATAGACTGGTAGGAACAAACGGGACCTCAATTGGATCTTCGGTTAGAAAATTAGAAGGAAAATTGTAAAATACAAGACTTAAAAGGCCCGTTTGGGGGCCAAAATCGCGAAATGACCACCGAAACCATCGAAACTTGGCACGGACAGCTGGTTAAGGCCTAAATAGACTGGTAGGAACCAACAGGACCTCAATTGGATCTTCGGTTAGAAAATTAGAAGGAAAATTGTAAAATACAAGACTTAAAAGGCCCGCTCGGGGGCCAAAATCGCGAAATGACCACCGAAACCATCGAAACTTGGCACGGACAGCTTGTTCAAGCCTAAATAGACTTGTAGGAACAAACGGGACCTCGATTGGATCTCCGGTTAGAAAATTAGAAGGAAAATTGTAAAATACATGACTTAAAAGTCCCGTTCGGGGGCCGAAATTGCGAAATGACCACCGAAACCATTGAAACTTGACACGGACAGCTGGTTAATGCCTAAGTAGACTTGTAGGAACAAACGGGACCTCAATTGGATCTTCGGTTAGAAAATTAGAAGGAAAATTGTAAAATACAAGACTTAAAAGGCCCGTTCGGGGGCCGAAATTGCAAAATGACCACCGAAACCACCGAAACTTGGCACGGACAGCTGGTTAAGGCCTAAATAGACTTGTAGGAACAAACGAGACCTCAATTGTTTCTTCAGTTAGAAAATTAGAAGGAAAATTGTAAAATACAAGACTTAAAAGGCCCGTACGGGGGCCGAAATTGTGAAATGACCACCGAAACCATTGAAACTTAGCACGGACAGCTGGTTAAGGCCTAAATGGACTTGTAGGAACAAACGGGACCTCAATTGGATCTTCGGTTATAAAATTAGAAGGAAAATTGTAAAATACAAGACTTAAAAGGCCCGTTCGGGGGCCGAAATTGCAAAATGACCACTGAAACCACCGAAACTTTGCACAGGCAGCTTGTTCAAGCCTGAATAGACTTGTATGAGCAAACTTGTATGAGCAAACAGCACCCGATTGGACTTCCTGTTACAAAATTAAAATCAAAATTGTGAAGTTCATATCGAGGTTTTTTCGTTTTTATTTATTTATTTTTTTTTTGTCAATCTAATATTGTTTTGTTTTTTCATGTGACAGATTGGCAATGGTGGAAAATAGTTTGGGCTGCATCAGAAGATTTGATTTTGTGTTTTTGGAAATATTTTGACATAGGATTTTGGTAAATGATTTATGGATTAAATGTTTAGCATCAAAATATTTGGTGTTGTGTTTTTGTAAATATTTTGACATAGGATTTTAGTAAATGACTTGTTGATTAGATGTTTAATATCAAAATATTTGGTTGTAATTTTGAAAATATTTTGACATAGCATTTGGTAATGTATTTATGGGTTTGATGTTAGTAGTTTGTAAGTACTTTGGCATGCATGTTTTAGATTGTCAGAGAATTGTAATTATGTTTATTGGGATTTTTCATAGCTATTAATTTTGAATTAGTATGAATGTCTTGCACAGGTGTATTATTATTTACATTACATTTGTGTATATATTGTGCACAAGAAAACAAGTGTTTTGGATTATTTTGAACAGGAAAATTATTAAAATCAAAATTTATGTACTGAATATTTAGTGACAGGTGGTATTTTGGTCGCTGTTAATATATTTGGCGACAACATATTGTTTTTGTTGCTAAAAGTTAGTGGTTATTCCAAGAACTTTTAGCAACCAAAACTTACTCGTCGCTAAAAACGTGATTTTTAGCGACCAAATTAATTTTGTCGTTAAATAGTACTTTTGGCGACGCATTTATTTGTCGCTAAAACTACATGGCCTATCCAAATTTTAACCTTTTACCAACAAATTGTAATTTTATAGCGACAAAATATATGATTTTTGACGACCAATTTTTCTTGTTGCTAAATGTCTACATACGGTGACAATTTCTAATTTCGTCGCCAATACTTTTAGTGACAGGCCTTTGGCGACAAATTGTATATTTGTCACCGATTCTTTTGGCGACGAAATTTGTACTTTTGGCGACCAATTTTTGGGTCGCCAAATGTGTATTTTGTTGTAGTGCGTGCCTCCAATAATTCATCGAGACATATCAAGTAAGAATGTTTTATTGAACTCAGAACTCGAGGCTCGTGTCTCAAATTTTGGCATTGCAAGGTTTCTGAAGCCCAATTCTTCGAATTGGACCACAATCGCAGGGACATACGGATACATCGCTCCAGGTAACTTCAACAAATTTATAAGCTTTTTTTTTTTTTTTTTTTTGATAATCAGTTGTTTGGGTCAGTTTGAAAAAGAAAACAAATTCATGAAAGTAATATCATATAAACAAAAAAAAAATTAAAAAATCAAACTAAAGGGTCATTCTCATCATGGATTCTATATAAAAATTATGTAGGAATTGACTTTCCTTCATGAAATTGTAAAATTTGCTTTTGAGAGTAGGAGCAAAATTATCCATTGAAATCATAGTTTTAAATAATGGTAGCAGAACACGTATCGGTAGGTGATACAACAATATATCGCTCCATATCAATGAATAATAGTATTAGATCTCAAAAATTCTATTGCATATTAGCCAATATAATACATAATGATTGATATTTAAAACTATTATCAAAATACTGTATGATTTTGTTTTCATCAAAAACTTCTTTAATAATTGTTTCAAAAAAATGCATTCAGTATATGAGATGTTAGTACTAATTGTGTTGAAAACGACCATTTAAGGTAATTCTCATATTTGTTTTCAAGATCTATCTATGAGAGCAATCATATGTTTACCATCCAATATTTATAATTTAAATTTTTTCTTTCTTTCTTTTCTATCACAGAGTTATCATACACAATGAAAGTAAGAGAAAAATGTGATGTGTATAGCTTTGGGGTTTTGGCACTAAAAGTTTTGATGGGATCGCATCCAAGAACTCTCATTTCAAATCTAACCTCACTGGTGGATCAAAAAATACAACATAAAGATGTGTTAGATCCTCGTCTTTCACCTCCAACAACTCAAAAGATTGCAGATGAACTAACTTCTATTGTAAACCTAGCACTATGGTGCTTACATGCTGATCCTCAATCTCGGCCTACCATGCATGTTGCATCCGAGTTGCTCCAAATGCAAGCTGGTGATGTCTAGATTTCTATGTGCATATACATGAAGTACATATTTGCATATAGGTTAAATGTACTATTGGTTTCTAAAGTATGCGCTATCTTTCATTTTAAGCCCAATATTTTAGTTACGTCAACATCGTTTCTGTCCAATTTTTGTTGGAAATTGGACAAAAATACCCTGTCCATTATAAAATTTGGACTGTTACTGAAATTTCTCTGAACAATTATTTTTGCTTCACGGATCAGCAGATAAAATCTTTAATTTGTTGAACATACATAAGGATTGTTTTATGCAGAACCAGTGTGATATTTCCAAGATGTAGCTAGATAAATTGATGATAAACTTGATTTGGGGGTAAATTACACTTTTTTGATCCATAAAAAAAAAAGTGTAATTTACCTCTAAATCAAATTTATAACAGTCAAGCCCTTATACTTTTGGTAAATTTCATTTTGGTCCCTACACAAGTGTCAATGTTCTCTTTTTAATACTCAATTATTTAAATGTTTAACAGAATCTAGTCATGTGACAAGAATGTGACTATAACATGAGGATAAGAAAAAAAAAATCATGTACATTTTCCACCAATTCACACTATATCCCAAAATTCACATTAAAATACAACTGTATTAAGCTAAAATAAATGCAGATTGTGAACAATTAAGAAGATGAACTAGGATTTTGTATAAATTAGAATCACGAAATTCTGTTTTTCATGATAATACCTCATGTCTATTCATCATTATTTCCCTTTGATTTCTTTGTCGCATTTTTATTATTATTATTATTTCAGAAGCTCTACTTTCTTGAATTTTCATTCCAAATTTTTTCCATACGAACATATATACATATATATATTATA